ATTATATTTCAAATCTTTATTTTAAGAATCGTATTAGAGTGAAGTATCGAAATTTACGTTATTAATAGTGCACTGGGAAATTGATATTGTATAATTTCAATAAATGAAAATTTTTATATGAACACAAAACAATTTATATAAAAAAAGGTTTTTGCCTTAGTAAATTGTTAAAGTTTTCATTATTAAATATCGTATATACTCATTTAGTGATAAACTTCTTAGAATAATTTACAATTAAAATATGCGCATATACTCTCAAAAATTTTTATATGCGAAAAATATAATTTCAAATAAAAATTCTAAAATTAATCATAATTACTAATTTTTTTTAAAATTGAATGAACTTTAAACCTATAAATACATTCGTAAAGTAAAATTTAATTTTATTTGAAGAAAATGGAGAAATGGTTACGTAACTCCATTTATTTTAGTTTGACAGTATTTTTCTTTTCTAAATTCATTTCAAATATTTTAAAATAAATTAATTAACAATTAAGCAAGAATAATAAAATAATTAATTTATTTGCAATATACTATGAATTTAATATTATAAATGTAGGTTAATTAAAATAAAAATATTTAGGCCGTTAAATCAATAAAACCATGTTATGAGCTGCAATATCTGAAATTGCATTCTGGGGGGGATAAAAACTATTCCGGATTTTTTATATTGCACGAAAGCATTGCTCATATAGTCATATGTCATATGTATGTTTCTATTTTGAACTTAATAATAGTATTTAATTGTCTATATATATATATATATGTATATACAAAATGAAATAAATAAAATGTTAATTAAGGTAATTTTATTTAACTAATTTTACTATTTACTATATAAGCTTAAACCAAATGATTGAATTTTTTTTTTTTATTCATTTTTAATAAAACTCTATAGAATTAAAATTGCAAAGGGTTTAAGTATATGCAATATTGCTATATTTCATTATAAATATGTACATATTTATTAGTATTTTTGCAAATGCTAAATGGTAAATGTGCACTTTAACAAAAAATTTATATATGTAGGTACTAGCGTAATCTTATTTTACATGTATTTGTTATGTATACCTTTATATACATGTGTACTTTTTCTTTAAAATTAAGTAATAATATAATATACTAATAATAATATTGTGTTATGGTAAATGAAGATACAATTTATTCATTTATTAAATAATTTTTTTTTTCAGTCTTTAAAATTTAATAAAAAATTATATTGTGTGTATGTAAAAAAAAAATTTTATTTAATTTTTTTTTTTTTTAAAAATAAAATGTTTTTGAAATTTAAAGCGATTTCGATTAAAATTGCTCATTTTGAATTTAAACTTTTGACGATAACTAAACGCTTAAGGAAATTTTTAATAAATTTATTTGTTATAATTTCAAATTTTAAGTGTTTATCATAGAGTATCTGTTAGGGCTATCGTAAAAGGTTTGACGATAATGTCAATCACTTCATTCGCTTCATTTGAAAATTTCAATCTTTTGAAATTAAGTAATTTTCGCAAATGACATTTAAAAAATTGTTTTGATAAAACGGAAATTGTCATTTATTTCGCTAACGAAATTTTCAAAAATCTTCATCCAAATTATAACAATATAATCTATTTAATTACTTATTATTTTTCAATTATTATTAAAGAATTAATTTAATAATAATTGAAAAATTTTTTAAAAAACATTTTATTAAAGTAATCAAATCAAATTTCAAAAACATTTTAAGTTTATACATATGTAGTTGAACATGATTATTTTATAAATTTATTTAAGTAATTTTGTTTTTCTTACAAAATATAAATAGGTTTTATTTAGTTTAAATTTTCAGTCTGTTTAAATTTAATTGAAAAACAACAAAAAAAACCTTAAAAAATGCAACCCATTGTTTTTATTGTATTTTTTTTTTGTAAAATATTTTTTCTATTTCCTATTTGTGCTTAATACTTTTTTTATTATTTTTATAATAATTTTTACTTTGAAATAATTAATAATTCTGGAGAATTAAAATAAGCTTTAATTAATTATCTTTTCTTATTTTTTTAAATTTTGACAACCATTTGATTTTTGTATTTGGTTTTCGTTTATTGAACTTATAAAAAGCAAATATATGTATATATATATGTAAGTCTCGATCCAGTGAGAATATTTAAGAAAAACAAACTAGAGAGTTTTTATAAATGGGCCTCTTATATTTATTAATATAGTTTTGTATTTTCTATTATATAATGTATATTTACTATTATATTTTATCGCGACATAAGATTACAAATTTAAATATTATTTAGTAATATTTTTTAAAATATTTTTATGTTAACTTAAGTATAATGTAAAATGAATGCTGAAGAAGAAAAATAGATGTATACATAATATAATTTTTAAACATACATATGCTTGATTAGTTGCATACAAATCAATAATTATCCGAATACAAGAATGTTTACTTGAGTAAAGAGCATGAAAAAATTCTGAAGAATTTTTGAAATCTAAGTTTTATACTTGATTTCAAGTTTATAATTATTGACTTTGAAATGAATCTTATATTTTACATTGATGAAATTAAACCTTATAAGAAATCACATACATATATATTTCATCATTTGTATTATAGATACAAATAACGTACATACATAAGAACTATCTGAAATAAAAAGCTAAGAAAATTAATTTGAACAATGTTTTGAATTTTCATTCAAGAATTCTTCATTATTATAAATTATATTTTAATAAATACTATATTGTCGTTTTTTAATATTAATACATAATTATATAAACTTTTTATATAAAACGTAATAGTTTAGAAAGAATTTTTAAAAAATTTTGAGATAATATATTAAAATAATACAACTTAGATTAAAATAATTGTTGTTGTACAAAAAAACAATGAATATTGTTCATAAAACTCCAGAATAGACAGAACAAGTCGAGGCAGAAAAATTTCTCCTCGAACTTAACTCTAACCAGTGACCTACCGCTTTCTGGGCGGACGCTCTAACTTTATCAAAATTTAACTCTGACAAATCTGTTTTAATTTTTAACTAAAAATATTTTGAATATTCTCATCAGCATTTTTTATATATATTTATATATACATATACATATTTTGAATTTATTAATAACAATAATACATATTAAATTAATAAAAATTTATAAAAATCTTCAAATTATTATTTTAAAGTTTTATTTGCGTATATAAATTATTGCCATTCTATTTATGTAAAGATTACATAAAAGTAAAAATAATTAAAAATTTTTTTATTTTGAATAATTAACATAATATTGTCCTAAGTGATGTTTACACTTCCACGAGTTTGCAGGTTATTTATAAAAAAGTTTATCAAGTTTTTTAGTTATGCTAAATCGATAAAAAAATTATTTTCATTTATTATAAATTTTGAAATTTCTAATATTATCTATAAATATGAATTTATAAGACAAATTAAGTTAATAATAATATTTCTCTAAATTAATCTTGCTGTGGCTATTTCGTTTGGTCAAATTGAGAATTTTGATATTGACACGTAATGTAACTTTATTTAACAACAAAATTTGTGTTACTGAAAAAATCGAACTGACTTACTAGAACAATAAATTTTCTAAAATTTAATACTACAATTTCATATATGTATATGAGAACTCAGCTTTTATATTTTATAATCAAATTTCAATTTTAAAATAAAAAAAGTTCTTGTAAATTTCTTAAAACTTTATTTTGACTTTATTTTGTTTGAACCTTATTTTATGTATGTATTTGTTTTCAATAATATACACATATGACATTCATTCATAAAGGATCCTATAAGGTGGCACATTTACAACATTTTAACTTTTGATTATTGTTTTTATTATTTTCGAAATTATTCTGAATATAATTAAAAATCATTTTAACATAATATAAATTAATATATACATATATATCGTTACGGAAATATTTTGTCAATTATCATCAATTATTTATTTAAAAAAATCACAATTTTAAAAAAAAATATTAAAATTTAAATTAAATTATTTTGTTCTGTTCTTTCTATATTTCAAGTTTTGAGATTGTTCATTTTTTTCCGTTTACATGTACATACATACACATACAATACGGTATATAATTTTTAAATTCTCACTGTTTGCCTTTATTTTGTTTATTTTATTTATTTTAATTTTTTGTATTGTTAAATTTTTATTAAACATTCATAAAATTGTTTTTACATTCTTTCAATTTCCATATTATTTCTTGTCATAATATAAAATATATTATGAAATACATATTTACATATATATATATATATATATATATATACATACATGTATATATACATTTATACATATTAAATAGATATTTTTTTTTTTCAAATTAACGTAATTAAAATATAAATTAAAATAATAATTGAATTATAACGTAATTAAATATAAATTTTGACCTTTATTTGTTTCTTGCGTCCTCCTTTTTTCCTGTTGCAAATCATTAAGTTTATTTTGTGATTTACATCTTAAGATTCCACTAAATCATGCATACAGTATAATATTCTTTTGGAAAAATATTCATTTGTATATATATTATGACATTTTTTTTTTATAACTAATTGGCAATAATATTATTTATTAAAAATATAATAATTCAAATTATCAATGTGTGTATTTTATTCAATAAATAATTATTATAAACATATTATATTTCCTAAATTTCTTGCATGCATTGCCGTCTTTTAAGAATAATGTAACGAACATAATTATTTTTTTTAACAAATTAATAAAACTTATTTTGTCAAAATATTTCAATATTAAACTAGAAGAATGCTTTAATAAATCCAATTAACTCTAAAATTGAATTTATGTTTTGATGCTATTAAAATTAATTTATATTATAATTATATTCTTATTTATAGCTCCGTCAATATGAAAATTAAAAATATACATACATATTAGTAATTTATGATTTTTAAAAATTTTACTAAAATACTTATAAGGAATATTAAATTCTAAATTATTATGTACTGTATGTATAAGTTATTGCAATCTTAATGAAACAACAAAAAAAAGGCAAGAATTTCATCAAAATGATGAAATTGAAAAAACGAAAAAACGGCATAAAAATTCACAAAACATAAAAGTCTTAAAAGAACAGTTTTAGAGATTTTCTTTTTTAACATGTTATCTCTGAATGATTATCGGGATTTATAAATCGATCATTAAATGCTTGTATTGTGAATGGTACAGAATTTGCATTAATTGGGGAATTGCAATTATTACCATTCAATAATTCAGAATTTTTTAAATCTATTGATCCATTATGATGTTGCTGTTGTCCAGTACCATTTGTTGCTCCATTTAGTGATGATGTTTGTATCCCAGATGTTGTATTTGTTGTTGCAGATGTTGTTTTATTGTTATGTATATTATTTCTAATATTATTTGTTTGTATATTAGCGTATGGTTGTGATGGCATTATATGAAGTACCGCTGGTGAAATATCTGCATTATTTGCACATTTCTCTAAAGTTGTTGGGTCTAATGTAATACCATCTAATTGAGAGAATGATATATGAGATTTTAATGATGTAGGTGTTGGTTGCGGTGTATCTAGGCTTATTAATCTTGTATCTTCGTCACAAACACCACATGTTGTTGTTAATAATGGTTTATTTGTATTATTACAGCTTGTTGATGTACAATAACCATTTGTTGTTGGGGCTATGGTTTGTGCTGTTGCAGAAGATGTTGTTGTTATTGAATTTGGATGTACTGTTGTAATACAATGTACTGTTGTTGATGGATGATGACTATAATGATTTTGATGACTATGATTATGGTTATGATGATGATGTAATTGATGTTGGTGATTATGTTGTCCATTAACAATATTATTTAATGCTGGTTTTCTACCATTCACTAATTTTGTATCACTATTAATATGATGTTTATAGTAATGTTGTGTTGGTGAATGTTTATTATTTGTATTTCCGCTTGTCATTTGATCATTATTATTATTATTGTTATTGTTATTATTGTTATTATTGTTATTGTTATTATTATTGTGATTATTTGCCATTGTAAATGATGTCTCCCACGATTGATCCATGTTATCATCGCATTCTAATGAACATGATCTTGTTAATAATGATGATGTTGAATTAACAACAGTTGATGTTGTTAATGTATCTGATGGTAATGTTATACCAGGCGATTCTTGTAATAAACCAGTCAAAGTTCTTGATGTTTGTAAGGGTACCAAATAGTCTGAGGAACTTGGAATCTGTAGGCATATATCTTCTGACATTGTTGGTCTCATGACAGTTTGATCACGTTCAGAAGAAGGAGGCCGGAAAATACTTGGCAATGGTGCATTCATTATTTCTAAGTCCTAAGAAAGTATAATTATGCATTTTTTTATTTTATTCGGTTTATTTTATTAAGAAATAATTCTCTGGAAAACTAACCTGTGTGCATGTCGTTAATTTATTAAGTAGAACTTCAAATGTTGGCCTCTCCTCTGGAGTAGGATTCCAACATTCAGCCATTATTGAATAAATTACGGGCGGACAACCTGATGGAGCATCTAATCGACCACCACCGGTAACAAGTTGCATGACATCACGATTGGGTAAACCAGTGTATGGCATTAACCCTAAACTAAAAACCTGTGAAAAAAAATCTTAATCATCAAAGTTCCTATAAATTAGTGGTTTTATTTTAAGAAAATATTTTACCTCCCATAGGAGTACTCCAAATGACCACACATCTGTTTTTGATGTAAATATACCATCTAAAAACGCTTCAGGTGGCATCCACTTAATAGGCAGCATTGCCTTGCCACCTTTTCGATAGTAATCACTCCTATATATATCTCTCGCCATTCCAAAATCGGCTATTTTTACTACACGACCCGGGCCTTTACTACTTAAAAGACAATTACGTGCCGCGATATCTCTATGAATAAATCGTTTACTTTCCATATACCGGCAGCCTTTTGCCACATCTAATGCACAAAATACTAAATCTTTCATTGACAATGGTGATGGTCGTTCTGGCTTGTTTCGACCTTCACGTAGGAAATTTTTCAAATCACCGCCTGCTAATAATTCCAAAACAATAAATCGTGGATGACGATCAAAGCATACACCAATTAAATGTACTATATTTGGATGATTAAATTTAGCCATGATAGCAGCTTCCATAAGAAAATCTGCTTCAGCTTGACCAGTTGACATTTCTGGCAAAGTTTTAACAGCAACAGGCATTTCTACAGCATCACCATCTCGATGACGGTATAAACCTTGATAAACTTCACCAAATGCACCTTGACCAAGGGCTCTAAATGAATATAAAATCACGTCAGATAATTTATAATTTTGATGATATTTCTAAAACACATTATTCGTTGTATATAGTTGACTTATATACTTACTTGACTAGTCTTAAACTTTCTCTAGCAACTTGTGGTAAACTTTTAATATCAACGTTTCCATTGAGTATACCATCACAACCATAATTCGGATTGAAGTTAGTTAAAGCTGAATCATCTGCATTGTGTCTTAATCTACTTAGTTGTAGATCTTGATCTTGCAGCATTTTATGACGTTCAGCCGCTTGTTTCTTACGTTGTAATCGATTATCTGTTGTAAATAATTTTATAATTTAAGTAATAATTGTAAGTAAATATTTTATGCCAGCATTTGTGAAAACCGTATAACCGCCCATCGGTTACAAAACTTTGTTCGTTAAAATTTAAATTTCTAGTTGCATTTTAAATTTAACAACAAAGCGTAAATATTTTCACAGATTGGTAATTCTTTATTTATGAATTATGTCCCATCACCTTGGATCACATATAAATTTTAACTTCTTTATCAAATACAAATCAAAACATGTATCAAATTTTGGTTTCGTTTTGTGTTAAAAAGTTTGATTTAAAAACTAGTTAAAAATTTGATTATACAGTTTTCTCTTGGCAAATGCTTTAGAAATATTGAATAAAATAAAGTTCCTTACATAAAATAAATATTAAGAAAGTAAATGCTATAGCTAAAAATACTGAGATGACACAGAAAAATATTATTAAATAATCCATCGGCAAGTCGTCAGTTTCATCACCTATCACTAAAAAACACATTATTTTAAATTTTATATTAAGATTACAAATTCAAGCATTCTCACTTTCACATGAAGTGTCGTTATCGCGTTTTAATTTCCATTTATCCGGGCATATACATCTCGTAATTGATCTATATTCATCCAAAGCGATACAACGGTAGTCACAACCACAACCTTCGATTGCCGGTATTATTATAACAGAACCATGACCGGTATTTTCGGCTGGTAAAATACGACTCAATGATTTGAGACTTCGTCCTGGATTTATAAACGAGGAGCCCCCTTCACCATTGATCGAGTCTCCGCTATAGCTGTTTCCTCCAGAAAAACCACCACCACCTCCTCCTGTTATGCAGCCACCTCCACCCCCACCAAATCCTCCTTGACCGTGTATACCATTTGTACTATAACAAGCGTGACCTCCCCGAGCACCTTCTAACAATGACGCACCAAAAGTTGGTCCTAACGCAGTATCATCTCTTGCTTTCCAACCACCACCAGGACCGGCAGTGCGATTACCATCTGTGTATGAAAGTCCAGTAACATTTTTACGATCTGGCTCAAATCCTTGCCCGTGCTGAATATCTTGATCAATATAGCGTCCAAAACCAAGACCTCCACCACCACCAGCTATTATTAAAGGGATCGCGTCACTACTTCCAGAGTTTATCTGAAATAATTTTATTACAGAATTATAAAGAAAAAATAAAATTTTTTATTTTAATAAAACTACGGTTTGTACTTACTAGAAATATGAAAGTGCCTCCACCGCCCCCTCCAGCTGCTGGATCAAATACAAAGTTTTTCACCATATGTGTTTTAGAAGGATACCCCATTAAATCCTGGTAATTACTTGAATTTCTCACACAGTCGCTTTCTCCAAGTGTTGCTGGGCATGCATTTTCTCCTTTTTGTCCAACTGATATATAAATTTCTTCATTTTTATGCAATTCTAACACTGCAATGGAAGTTGCACCGCGTGATGATCCAGCACCATTTGAACTCAATCCTCCACCCGCTCCCTTAGCAATAACACTAAAAAACCAACGAATCTCATAATAAATTTTGGCCAATATTATTGATTTAAATAATTGATATAATTACGTATAATATCCTTCACTTGGAACTTTCCATTTTTGCATTCCTTTGTAATTATCTATTTCTAAAATTTTGACATGATCTAGGGTATATGAATTGTTCATGTCTTTATATGCATTTTCACATTGAGAGGCAGTGGGCCCTAGTATTCCACGTGCTCCACATGTATTTAATTCATAATCTGCAAAATGTTAATTAAGTAATTAAATGATATTGCAAAATTTGTAATAATTTTAAGATATTGTAAAATTAATATTATAAAATTTGTAATATTCAAATATTTATATTTTTTACATGATTTTTTAGCAAAATCTTTGTGCGGATCTTTCTTAACCCGCAATCTAGGATTCCAGTAATCATAGCCATCTAATTGATCTTCTGGGATATTAATACCGAAACATTCAGGACTTAAAGAAACATCGTCAACTGCAACATCTGAAAATATTCTCATTCCCATTCTGGCTTCAAATTGAAGAAAATATCTGCAAGGAAAATCGTGTAAATAAAAACAATATTTCAAATACTTTAAAACATTACCTTGTTGTAATATTTGGTAAAATATGTATTTGTCTGTGCCACATTTCCCCTCGATTTTTCATACTCCACCATAAGGTCGTTGTAATATTTTCTGTTTCTTTAATTTCAACAACAGAAAAATTAATGCTACCTGCATTCAATCCGTATTGATGAACGTTAAACCGCACCTATGTTTAAACATATTTTAATAGATATAATTTCAATATTTTTTGAAATGTGTGACAAAATAAAATCTATTATATATGTACATATAAGGTTTTATTATAAACGAACATTTTACGTACCATACAAGAATTACGGTATGGTGAATTTGGATTACCATGTAAAGATGGTGGTGGGTTAAATATTTTGCTATTCATAATAGCATTTGATGCGAAACCAATTTTTCGATCTGGATCCTTTTGGCTTTGATTCATGTTGACTAACATGTAGTAACCACTTGAATTACTCATATGTTGGTAAGTATGATCACCTTCAGGACCAGTTTTATCAGTTGGGGATGGACCTGTATGCCTTGACCATAATAGCATATTTTTGGCACCATTTTTCCATCCACACCAATCAGCTTCAAAATCACAACGACCGCCATATGGAATTTTATCTAAAACGTTAAAAATATCAATATAGTTTCTCATATATAAAAAAAGAAAAAACTAATTTACCGCAATTAAGTGACTCATCTTCATTATTATCACAGTCTTGATCAATGTCACATATACTCTCCAAATCTATACAAACAGGTACTTTATTTGATGTACATTTCAATTGTGTTGTACTGCAGTTACGATTTTTTGCACTATCTTTGAAACATTTAGACATTCGTAAATTATCAATAGCAACATGTGCACGATTTTTTAATGCTTCTGGTGGTACAATTTCTAACAGAATGCGAAAATCTCTTTGAACTCGACCAATTTTATAATGTTTTGGTTCCCATATATTTAAATCATTGCCAGCAATCTCGGATATTACCCATGGACTTTCACCATCTTTAGTCGGTTGTATAACTATGCGTGATAATCCATGAAACATATTACTTTGATGCATAAATAATTCAAGCTGACAATTTTCTAATGTGTTTGAAAATACCGGGGAGGTTAATGTTATGTTTGACATATCCGGATGCAAACGTATATATAAGAATTTTCCTATAATTTAAAAAATATTGATTAACTTTAAAAATAAATCTAACACAAAAACTTGTATACCATTTGCATCATCTAATGAATCAGCTTTAGGACCTGGATATAAACCCGTCAAATTTATGCTTGCTAAATCAACACCATTCGTAACATAAACTGAATCAGAATTTGAAATATTTTGTGTCCATTTCCAAGCACATTCTGTATCAAATGTACATTTCACTCCAAGGCGATCATCAAAATAATTTGAATAACTTGGGTAATTATCATCAATGTAGCTCTAAAATGTGTAATAAAGAATTATTTTAGTTGATTTTTATTCAGAAAGTTGTGAAGTTAGACAGTTTGTTATTTGGTTTTATAAAAATTTTTAGTGAGAACAAATTTCAGCAAGAAAATTTTGTTATAATATTATCAAATTATTAAATATACTCAATAATATACTCGAAAAACGAAATATTGCGCAAAATATCTAAATGGGACAAAATTGCCATAATGAAAATTTAACTTTGTTCTACTTTACGTATTCATGAAATAAAATTGAAAACAATTGGAACAAGACAATTTGAATTCATGTAAGTCATGTAAATCTTATTTTAGTCTAGAAGTGTAGCTTTTCTAAAAGTAGTTTAAATATTTAAATAATATTAAAGTGTAGCTTTCATAATTCGTTCGAATATTTCTTATTTTTTCGCGATTTTAACATTTTGTAGTACAAAAAAAAAACATTTGTTAAATTTAGCAATCGCAGTAAAATAACATTTTACTTATGCTACTGCAAATTAGCTTAATAATACCAAGTTTTTAATAACAAATAGCCTAAATTATCTAGTGGTTTAAAATTTTAGCAATTCCTTTATCATAGAACACAATTAAATACTCGTACTTATATATTTTGAATACGACTTATTCAGAACGAACTCTTTTAAAATTTTGCTCTCATCCAAATGTTGTGTGAGAGCTACGAGTAATACACGAAAATAATATTTCAAGAGTTTACAATGAAATACTAATTGAACTGAAAGTTAGAATTGTAATAAAACAGCAATATGTACGACATATTTCTGTTCATTAGAGCTCAATTAATTCACGTTGTGATATTTATTAAAATAAAATAATCGGTTTTAATTGAATTTGATTCTTTCATATTCCGCCGTACTTTTTTAATAAAAAAAATTAGTTTAATTAATAATAGAATTTTCACTTAATGAAATTTAAATAAGGCCTTTTCAAAAAAATAATATATAAATAAATTATTTATTTTAAATATAACTTACGTTATTTTTTATTATTCTATGAACTTGCGAATATGCACTATTTGATAAACCACCATTATGATCATTATAGTCTTCTGCAATATCAGTTCTAGTACCATCAGCCATTAATATCTTTAATATATCAATCTTGTTTGTCCGATTAACTGATCCTGCTTGATGTAAAATTGATGTCTTTGAACGTTCAATATTATTGTTATTATTATTATTATTATTATTATTATTATTGTGGTTATTAATATTAAAATTGTTATTATTATTATTATTATTATTATTATTATTATTGTTATTATTTAACACAATACTATTTTTCCATGGTGGAAGCTGATAATTATTATCAAGTGATGTTATTGATTGTGGTATGTTTGATGATCCTTGTGGTTGCTCTTGTATTAATTTATTTCTTAATGAATCAAATGAACCTTTTGCAGATTTTTGATTTAATATATTATTTTTTGTTTTATTATATGGTGGTCTTGGACGATATTGGGTTGATGGTCGTCGTGTTGTTGTAAATGGTCTTAAATTACGATTTAATTTTTTATCATTTATATCAAAACGTTCTGTATATGGTTGCAATGTTGATGATGTTGTTGCATATATATGTTGACCACTTCTTAATGATGATTTACCCAAATTTGTTGATGCCGACGACGATGATGATGGTAACGAAGATAATGATGTAGATAATGATGCTGATGATGAAGATTGTGGTTTAAAATATGGTGTTATTGAATTATCCGAGATATTTTTATATACTGTACTATTGCTGATTGGTATCGGCCTCTGACAATAAACAATTGTTGATGTAATATAATAAAAAAGGGCTATTCCTTTTGTTATTTCTAATAAAGCAGATTTAGATTTTGTTGATTTATTTGTCATTGTTTTATTTTATATATACATATGTTTTAAATGTTTTATTGATTTTTTTTTATGATTCTTTTAAAAAAAAGAAATTTTTTTTTCAACTATATTTTTTAAGTTAAGTTAAAAAGATGAAGATTTTTCTTAAAAAAGAATGTATATATATATATATATATATATATATATATCATATATATGTACGTAGCTCTGCTGGTAAATATAATTTTGTATTCCGCTTAACAAGCTTTTACAGTATCGTTTTATAGTAATAGCAGCATTCAACTATTTTAAAAAAAAGTTTAAAATAATTTGTAAATAGCTTTTGCTTTACAACCATGTTTTACAAATGAATTTTATTGTTTATATTTTCACAAGTTTAAGAATCAGAAATTTGTAAATACGTCTACTAAAGTTGTTAAATCTAGAAAGAGAAGAAAAAGAAATTAATATTAACTTTTATTAATTAAGTTCTTTGCAAATATTATTCAGATAAATTCCTAATATAATTAAAACTATATAGACAAATCAATTATCAAAAACGTTTTTCAACATAGCTTTCAACGTAAAATAAAATTTGTTTTTTTTTAAAGTTTTGCTATTATGTAATAATGAAATATGGCATGTATTGTAGAGCCCAGCAAACATTTTCCAAAAATAAAAATATTCTACAAAATTTGGAGGAATCAAAAGAAGCCGTTGTACAGTAAAGAGCAAAATGATATCACCTTCCGACATAATTTTTAGTGAGTTTTCTTCTGATGAAAAAGAACATTTCATTCAATTTCATAATTAAACTTGAATTGACTAAAATATTATAACAACTCGTAGAATAGAAATTTAATTATCTAAACAATTTTTTTAAGAATGCCGAAAATTTTACAAAATCAAAATGTAATCAAAATGAAAAGGTGGATATTTCGCTTTTGTACGTTTTCTTGTTTTTTCATAGAAGTTCGAGTAAACTATTGCAAGTACATATACGAAAAAAGGAAAACTAAATCGAAGTGTCATTTCCTAAAACTAGAAGACCTAGCAGAAAAAATTTAATGGGTCAAAAAATAATGTTTTAGCTATATTAAACAGATTTTGAAAGAGATCAATGAATTAAAATGTAAAAATTTTAAATTTCAATAAAATCTTGTATTTTAGTCATTGAATATAATTTTCTGCCTAGACCATACAAATAAAAATCTAAGCTATTTTGCATAGCTTAGAAATTGTATAATATTTCTGGCTTCACATAAAATTATTTCTTCAATTTTATATTAGAAAAAAATAATACATTTTAGGGATAGTTATAGAAGAAAATTCCTAAACTATTATGTTTGGTAGAAATTTTACGTATTATAATGTCTATTCAATTGAAAGAGTAAATCGAACTTTCTGAAAGAAAGATATTTACCAAAAGAGCTATAAATTAATTATAATAAAGCAATATAAAGGAGAATATACAGAATGATTCAGTAATAAGTATAAAATTATATAACAGGGTTGTCCAAAGGTCTTGATAGTGTGATAGCTATATTTCAAAATTTAAAATTTTTGAGAGCTGTAGCTAAAACTGTTTTAAAAAGTTAACTTATCACAAATTCTAAATTATGAATTACATCTGTAGCAAGAGTGATAATAGGAGGAATAGTTTCATTCAAAGTTCAATATGAACTGTCCATTTCAAAGAAAATAATTAATTAATCGGACTCGATCGGTATCGGAGGATTACACAACATTTTATATTCCTTCGCAAGTTTTTCGATTAGTCAACATCCTTAACTTAACAATATTAACTTGAACAAAACTGAAATTTGTTTTAACGGTGCACTTTCATATTTTTTTTCAGTAGCTTAAGAGACATTTTTTAAAATAAAATAACAAAAATGAAAAGCGAACTTCGGTACATTCATCGAGAGCCAAAAAAAATTCTTGGAAGAGTCGCAATTTTTTAATTATAAAAAAATATGGATAGGTAAGAAAATATATAAGGTCTATAGTGATCACCCGTAGGCCTTTTTGATTTACTCTAAACAGCTTTATTTATTGCTTAGAGTCAGAAAAAATAAAATCATAAAACTTTTCTTTAAAATTTGTTGTGCTACAATACAAAAATTTAGAAATTCTATTATCTGAAAAAAAAGTACTTAGTAGAGCTTCAAAATCTTCTTACTAAAAAGTTAAAAAGAAAACTGATAAGTTAGAATTCTTCTTTCAAATAAGTTTCATTTGAACGTTCTATCAATTTTGCAAAAACACGTGAGCAAGTAAAATTTTGATCAAATATTAACACGTAATAATAATTTTGATCAATTCCTGTACCTCTTGCACATTGAGCTTTGACCGATTTGAACAAAAGGTTTACCCATTTTTGATTTTCTAAATATGATAATAAAATGTTACTTATTACTGAACCACCATTACCTAACTCCGGCCGATTACTATAATTACTACAAAGTACCCGCCAAATCTAAATGCTAAACACTTGTTTTTTTCAGCTTTGAATTTTAAGTTAGAAAATTGAAAATTTTTTAAAAAACGTTAATTATCTCAAAAAATTTCGTTAATTTTTCTTTTTTTTTTTGACACGTACTGTTTGTTCAGGCAAAAGAATAATTTTCGCAAAAATAAATTACACACGAAATCGTTTTTACATGAAAACGGTGAGTCTGGCATCAACCTAATACTCGTATGTAGACCTATTAACTAAAAAAAAAGGTTGTAAACAATATATTAGGTTCAATAGCATCGAATCTGCTATTGACATTTTGTCAGCCGGATTTCTTTTTAATCTGTAAGTAAAACTTATTTTCTTTAACCCTTCAAAACTACAATTAAACTTCCAAAACCCCAAAAAATATGCAATATTAACGAACAATTCAAGTTAAAATTAGTTTTATAAATACTTATATGCAAAAAGAGTTTTTATACCCGTACGATGGAACCCGTACGTGTGTACATCTCTAATTTTACTACACATACATATTGTGCAAGGATATAATTTCTTCCCCTTTTCTATTTCAAATTAATATAAATTTTTTCAGCATTAATAAAATATAATAAATAAGACATTTCGTGAAACTTGCTTTCTTTTGATTTACAAGTATGCAATTAAATTTTATATAAAATAAAGTTGGGTCAAACCAATGATTTGCAATGTAGCACATTTCCCTTCAACTAATGAAAGTATTACTTTTAAAAACAATTTATGCGATAACTTGACAGAGGGTGTAGATGGAAAACAATTTTCTTTTAACGAAATTAACTATTTTTTAGTATCTAAAAGCTGTTAAAATTTTAGACTTTTACAAACTGGGGCTTAGAACAAAAACGAAATTTTGCGAAATTGGAAAAATGCTTATGGTTTCACTGCAATAAATAGTTAAAAAATGGCATTTTTAAGGTTTTGAAGGTAATAATTTTTAGAGGGCGGAAGATAGGTAAAAATTTTCTTCTACAGAAATAAGTTTCTGGCAAAGATCTATTTGCATACAAAATTTCAGCTTTCAATCATCAAGGGTGTAGAAGTTTTGCAAACACGTCCACGGACGGACGGACTTTCTTTCAAAAAATTTTTGGGAAAAGTGCTAATGAAACTAAATATTATTCTTATACACTCGTGTATAATAAAATAGCGAACATAATATGAATAGATTAGAGCGAATTTTGGGGTATTGGTAAAGAAAGATAATACTAATAATAAACAAGCTTAATGGTAGTACTAAACAGAACAATACTCTGAAATCCTTTAACCCCAAAAGTAAGAGGGTACTGGTTTATTTATTTTTTTGCGTATACAACTAATTTGTTTTTCAGATAATAATGAATAGAAAATAAAACTTTTTTTTTTAAAAAGAAATATTGTTACAGTTCTTATATATTATACACTTTTATATTATGTGATTTGAAAGAACATATTCTATAATGTGCATATAAATATAAAAAACCAGATTGTTAATAATAAATAGCTAAGGGATACTATCGCTTCCTCTGGAAGATTAAATATCTATAATAATATCATACCATTTTAACAAGGTTTAAGATGTTGCAGTCATTTAAAAAAAATAAATAAAATTTTAAATACTTACATATCTAGCTATCATTATAAAAAATATTATTTTAATATATATTTGAAAATTTTTATCAATTTTTGTAAAAGTACAATATGTGCATAATCATAAAATGTGTACAGGCTTTTTAAGAAAATCTCTTAAAATAAATAATAATCTTTTTATTCACTTTTCTGAAAAACTCTTGTGTTAATAATTAACAATGTCCTAGATCAAATATAACTCTCTCATAGATTATAACATAACTTTATGTCTAGATATGTCTAGTTTTTATGTTAAATACGCATATGATTGATTTAATACATTGATTTTATGAACATATTTCAATTTTCTAAATTTAGGGATATATAAACAGATTTATTACGTACGTATAATAAGGCGTCTCACGTTAGACGCCTTATAGGTTTACGAAATTCCCGGTATAACCATAAATTAGACCATCGCCAAATATTTTTAAAATTATAATATTATTAAATAGTTTTGACTAATAGTGTTATTGATATATTCGCAAAAAAAAAAAAATGTAGATATTCTCGCTTTCAAGCTACCTCCTATTGTGAAATGTACGACCTATGCATTTTTCGCATGTTATAAAAACACATTTAACACGTTTTACTAGCAAACTTATGACAGGTGAAGGAAAATGTTATGTGGGTTAACTATTAGCCCTCATTTTGGCGTATCGAAAAACACAAAAGATGAATCATCTATAAAACAAGCCAATGTTACTATATGTCACATGTCTCCGAAGTTATAAATATTTAATTTTAGCAACCTGCCGGTCTGTGTGTGGACGCGTGTATCTCAAGTTTGGCTGAACCGAATTTGATGAAATATTATATGTAAGTTTATTTCGACTGTGGCACGAATTAATCAACTTTTGGGATATATCAGACCTCGGGAACTGAGGTTTTTAGCGGGCCCGTTTTACATTTTTGATCATTATGAAGAAAATATTCAACAGATGTACTTGAAATTTCATATATAAGCTTCGCTCGATCATCCGTGAAACCTCCTAACTTTTGGAAGAAATAAAACGTCAGCAACTGTACGTTTACTGCTGGCCAAATATACATTTTTGCTTATATAAAGAGAAATAATCAACCGATTTAATTGAAATTTGATATATAAATATTCCTTGTATTAAAGCAATGAACATATAAATTTTTTGGAAATATCAGGGCTCAGAAACTGATTTGAGTGCCGATTTTATATTTTTTACCACATGTACGGATGAATTAATGGGATTTCTTGAAATTCGATATTTGAGTTTTGGTTGTTACCGAAACTAACTGGCGAGCATTTCAGTAAATTCGGGTGACACAAAGTGAAACTCTACTAATATCCAAATTTACATTTTTCT